TCCTGGACTACATTCTTCAAAACGTACAAATCAACGGATTTTCTTATAAGTATATATCAGTTTACACTGTATTGCTAGTTTCCTATTGCATAACTAACTTAACACCAGGGGGCTTTTATTGGATGCCGTAAACTTCATGCAAACTGTAGATGCCAAACTTAATGAGAGCATTTAATGTTCTTAGGATATTCGCTTTGCTAGGAAGTATAACAGCACCCCGAACGTGTTTGTTTCCGCGAACCATTCATCTAGCGGTGGAAATCAACAACCAGTACACAATGGAATAACTGCTTGGGTAGAGGTAGGATGAAGGCTCTATGTTTACACTGCATTGTTTAATCTAAAAGTTTTATAGCAAAATTAGAGTGCAATTTAATAATAAAAAATCCGGGGAAGGGGTTTCAAAGTTTTTAAATGACGATTTACCCTGAGGGGGTGAAACTTTCAGGAGCTGCTCATTCATCCTCTGCGAAATTATAATATGTCAGTTGTGTGTCTATCATTTTTGACGATGCCAAGCCAACCACACTGATTTCATATAAGTTTGGCCATAAATCAACTTTTTCGACATCATTCGGTCTTTTTTCCCTTTTATCTTCATCAAATTGCAGAAATTCAGCAATTTTTATATTTTATAAACATTAAGGCTTGAGTTTGTGTTAATTTCCATTATTTCGAATTCTTTAGCTCTAAAAAACAGTGAAATCCAAGATGGCGGATCCAAGTTGGCGTGTCATTTGACGTCATATGACGTCATACGCAACAAAATTGTATCATCTTGTAGAGGAAGCTCATGCAGGGCTATGTAATTAATGTAAACTCATTTCGCTCTGAAAACCTAGGGGAGTGGTTCCATCAACCCCTCCCCCTTCAACGTTCCCCACGGAGGGGGTATGAGATAGCTTATACGTACCGAATATAATTTCATTCTTGGAGACTACTGATTTTGTTTTATTCTTTATTGCAGTACATAAATATGACCGGTGTCCGAGTTTGTTTAAAGGAATTGTATGGGACAAAGTATGATCCACTGTCCATATCATACACTGTCCTGTCTGGTAAGGACAAAAAATGCCCTCTTAGGTTTGAATTTTCCTCTATTTATTCAGTAAGATATGCTTCTTAGGCTCGCGTTGTTTTAACGTCAGAGATTTATATGAAATGAAACCTGCAACCNAAACTTCATGCAAACTGTAGATGCCAAACTTAATGAGAGCATTTAATGTTCTTAGGATATTCGCTTTGCTAGGAAGTATAACAGCACCCCGAACGTGTTTGTTTCCGCGAACCATTCATCCAGCGGTGGAAATCAACAACCAGCACACAATGGAATAACTGCTTGGGTAGAGGTAGGATGGAGGCTCTATATTTACACTCCGTTGCTTCATTTGAGAGTTTTATAGTAAAGTTAGAGTGCAGGAGGAGTTTCAATTTTTTTAAATGACGATTTACTCTGAGAGGATGAAACTTTCAGGAGCTGCTCATTCATCCTCTGCGAAATTATAATATGTCAGTTGTGTGTCTTTCATTTTTGACGTTGCCAAGACAACCACAAATTTCATATAGGTTTGGCCATAAATCAACTTTTTCGACATCATTCGGTATTTTTTCCCAGTTATTTTCATCAAATTGCAGAAATCCATCAATTTATACATTTTGTAAGCATTATGGCTTGAGTTTGTGTTAATTTCCATTCTTTCTTTAGCTCTAAAAAACAGTGAAGATGGCGGATCCAAGTTGGCGTGTCATTTGACATCATATGACGTCATACGCAACAAAATTGTATCATATTGTAGAGGAAGCTCAGGGCTATGTAATCAATGTAAATTCATTTCGCTATGAAAACCTAGGGGAGTGGTTCCATCAACCCCTCCCCCTCAACGTGCCCCACGGAGGGGGTATGAGATAGCTTATACATACCGAATATAATTTCATTCTTGGAGACTACTGATTTTGTTTTATTCTTTATTGCAGTACATAAATATGACCGGTGTCCGAGTTTGTCGGAATTGTATGGGACAAAGTATGATCCACTGTCCATATCATACACTGTCCTGTCAGGTAAGGACAAAAAATGCCCTCTTAGGTTTGACTTTTCCTCTAGCAGTAAGATATGCTTCTTAGGCTCGCGTTGTTTTAACGTCAGAGATTTATATGAAATGAAACCTGCAACCAAATATTTGAGGTTGTCTCTAAAAACACAACTAAAGAGCAACTCATATCAATTTATTGGCTTCCCTTACTCATGGTGTATTTCTTTGCATCTACAGACGTTTGCCAGCCAGGGTGGAGTTACTTTGGTGGTTATTGCTACTTTACAAGCCCCGCATGCGCTTCATGGCTGACCGCTGAGTCAAACTGTTCTGCGATGGACTCTGATCTGGCGACTATACACAACCAGGAGGAGAATGTGTTTATTCAACACCGTCATGACGGAGATAAGTCCTGGATAGGGCTAAATGACCGCAGTGTTGAAGGCTCTTTTGTGTGGACAAACAAAGAAATTAGCAGTTTTAGGTTCTGGGCTCCAAACCAGCCAAACGACTGGAACAACGAGGATTGTGTCCACACGCTTGGCGTGAGGCATGGATACACTTGGAATGACGTGCCATGCGATAACTGCTTCAACTTCACTTGTTTTACAGGTGATAAATCATTTCTTAATATGTAATTGTTCCCGATCATGATTTATCACTTGATTGACCGGTAGGGTGATTGACTGAGGCTGGTAAGTTTATTGAGTAAACTTTTTGGGAAAAGGGCAATGAAAACAGCGCCGAGCAACAGTTGCAAAAGAAAAATTTCGAAAAAATAACCACGTTAAGATCAGGGCTATCATTGATTTAGACTACACACAGATTGTTAAATATGTATATACATGCATGAAGACACGATTGATCATCACAGTTATACACAACTTAAGCAGTTGTGAAAATTAAAGCCTGAAAAAAAAAAATTCACTGGGCCTTAACGGGATTCGAACCCATGACCTTTGCGATACCGTTGCACCGCTCTACCAACTGAGCTATGAAGCCAACTGCGAGCTGGTCACGTTGTGAGTTCGTAATACACCCGTAGATGATGAAGAAAGCAAGTGAATATATGAAAAATCATATATTTGAACTGCGGAGAAAGATGTGAAGACATGATAGATCATTGTAGTTATACACAACTTAAGCAGTTAATTAACTGTGGAATTAAAGCCTTAAAAAAATTCAGGCCTAAACGGGATTCAAACCAATGACCTCTGCGATACCGGTGCAGTATTCTACCAACTGAGCTATCAAGCCAGCTGAGAGCTGGCTACGTTGTGAGTTCGCAATATACCCGTATTTATTTTTTTCTCAAGCATCTGAGCGGGCCGGAGTCCAAAATCCTCGAATTTGATTGGCTAATCATACGTACGTGACCGGTCCAGCTTTTACGATACGGCCCACGGGCCGGAGTTTTTTCCCGCTGCCTAAATTTCGCTCCTAAAAGCTAGCGGTAATTGTCAATCTTTTGCCCTTCTTACACATCCATCGACGATTAGTCAAGGCAAATTTATCTCTGTTCACTTTAAAATGGCAAGGAAAGTCACCGTAGGTAAATTCAATTGAGTGTTTTGAAGTTGTGAGAGTTTGCTTTGTTGTTTGTAGCTTGGCGCTGTAATGGAACGTAATCCTGTGTTTCTCTCGCCGTAAAATTTGAATCAGTTTCAGTCGAGTTTACCTCTCTGATCGTTGCTGTATTTAGAAGAATTTCTGTGGAATACACTTAACGAATTTCCTCGCTTTCTGCTATTCAATGAACAGTAGGAATATCTGATTTCAAGTGATTTTAAAAGCAACGACTGACAAAAATTGTTTTTGTAGTAAAACTTCAAACTTCGCACGAAATTTCACACCGCAAAAGTAATTTTGGAGAAAAAAATCTGTTCTTTAATACATCTTTCTTTATCTACTATCTGAGTTACTCATTCGTTGCCAAGATCGTTTTCAAATCATTAGTAGACGGCGCAGAAGCCGATTCAATAACAAGAGTTGCGTAAACAAACCCATTTGTAATCTGTAAAACCAATTTACTGCAGGAAAAAAAAATAAGCATGTTATTTGCCGGCTTAGGGTCGGTCCGTATAGTGAAAAAATTGTGACCTCGGGCTTGAAAATGCTACCCTCGGCCTGCGGCCTCGGGCAGCATTTTCAGGACCTCGGTTACAGTTTTTCACTATACGGACCTCCCAGCCGGCAAATAACAGATATATATGATGTTTGATATATTCATTTGCATTCTTCATTATGTACTGGTATAGTACGAACCGGTATCGCAGAGGTCATGGGTTCGAATCCCGTTCAGGCCTGAGTTTTTTTAGGCTTTAATTTTACATCTGCTTCAGTGGTGTATAACTGCAATGATCAATCAAGTCTACATATCTTTCTCCGCAGTTCAAATATATGATCTTTCATATATTCACTTGTATGTTTATAAATTTA